TTTAGAAACTTTAAACAAAACAGTTGGAGTAATGTACACTATTATGCAATTTTCAGTTAACTGTAGAATCTAGTATAATGTAATTTGTGATTAGAGAATTTTCTATACACATCTGTTGCAATGCTCATCTATATTTCCCAAGATTAATCAATGATAGACGACAGTTTTGATGCATCAAGAACGTTCCAGAGAGCTTGAGCCGTTTTGATCACATGACCAGAAAGTGCCCTCAAACCTCAAGGAAAAAAGATATGGTTAAAGAGTATATCAATTTGAGGTTTTAAAATAGGTAATTTATTGTAAGAAAATGTTGACCTAGAAGAGTCCAGCTCAGGCAAAGGTATGCAAATGAATTGTGTATCTGGAAAAAGGTTGACGAGGCAACGGAAGCACAAGATGTTTTGCCCGAAAGACAATCTGGATGGGGGCTGCTGGAACAAAATGACATGGACAGACTACAATATGAAAAAAGAAATCCACTGAAATATAAAGCAGTATTATGGAAATGTAAGAAAAACATATAAAAGCATATTATAACTAAGAGAGAGAAACACCAACATGCAGATACCTCCAAAAGCAAATCTCTAAAGACTTTTCAAATTTTTATGAACTGGTTAAATATTTTTCACTTAAAAAATTTTCTGTAAATTTAATTTCACAAAACCAGCCACCCCTGTAAGCCATAATAAATGGTCCCCATCTAATCAGCTTTTGAAAGGTCCCTCTCCTTTTCCCGTAACAGCCCCACAATTACACGCACACATGAAAGGCAATTACAAATCTAAATGCACTCATCCAGGAAGTGTTTTGATATGAATTTGCATATTTAGTATATAGTGGCATTCCTTGAAAAATTTCACCACTATCATCAAATATCCACTATAAGTAAGTAAGGACTACTGCAGTATGCAAATTGATCTTGAATCTCCTATAGAAACACTATGACGACAAAAGTACGCAGAGATTTCATCCTCCTATTGGTCCTATTTTTAGGCTCTACTTAGTGGTCCGCTACACTTTCTTACGCCATGTTCACTTAACAAGTAATACTGCTCAATTTCTCCCTTGTTTCCCTTTCAAGTCTGCCATTTCTATACTTTCCTTCTATTCTCTCACTGGTGTGCGCTTGCCTATTTCCAGGGCAAGCCACCAGTAACGTACACACTTATATGATCAGACTCGTCAGCACATCCAATATTTTACTACCTGAGAGCAGTTGAAATGTCTGGGGAAAACTTCCATATGAGGTCACTATCCTGCAGAGAATTTTCAGAAGCAGCGAGCCAGATGAAACTTCTGGGATAAGAATCCAATTGAAATCATGACTTGAATTCGAGGACTCACTCCAAAACAAACAAGGAATCCACCAATAGACTAAAACAAAAAAGTAATAAAATGTTCAGCAGCTAAAATATCCATGAGAAGCTGTCTACTGAAAAAACTTCATTAAGTTTCACCAATTATGGCATCATTGCATAAATCGCTGATTGCATGAATATCTGGAAATCAGCTCAAGCTTTATTAATTGAACACTAAAAGCAATCTTGACAAATCTGAAATGAAGGCAAATATGAACAAATTACAACACTACAGAAACAATGTCAGCATTGTGCTGAAGGATAATCAAAGTAGGATTCCTTTATTGCCAGAAAGGCTCTTTCTTGAACTGCATCGACTGCTAAGCATCTGTAAAATTCATTATTAAAATTTGCAATTTATAGTGAAATTAAAAATGGCCAAGGATATAAGGCAAAAACAATTGTGTCATTCGTCACTAGTCTTCAAACTCCGTATAATTTCAATTTCTTAACCAAACCTGCAAACAACAGCACACCTGAAAACAAAACATGCCGAGCTGAGTATGATTTTGCACACAAAGTCATCAGAGAAAAAAAAAACTGCATCATCCACGAGTTGCCAGTTTCTGCAGCAGGGAGTTGACGAGTGACAAACATACCGTGAAGCTGCTGAAGGACCTTCCTGTATAGCAGAACAAGCTGCCATGCCACACGAGAAGAAAATCCTTATGGTTCTTGAAGTCTTCCAACAGTCGGTTCAAAGTTTCACAAAATTATATATTAACCGAGGCACACGTTTTGAATGATGCTGAGAGAGGCCGATATAATGCCAAAAGTCTGCCGTTTTTTTACAATTTAACCTTATGCCGAGGAGCAGTTCCAAAATGTAGGTGGCCAAGGATCACATACAATATAAAAGAAAAAATTGATACAGCAATATAGAAGTTTTTTAAGATTTTGGTGTAATATCTATTATTAAGAGTAAGACTAAAAATTTGGTCATTATTACTATATATAATCAACATTTCTTGCAATCACTACACCCAGCTTAATCTTTGCTGGTTCCCCAAAGCAAGAAAAATCAAGAATAGAACACACACACTTCTTGCTCTACCAATTGCTACGTCTAGTTTACTACCTTAAGCAGTAAAGCCTGGAGAGGTTAAGCTATGGCTGCAACTTAAAAACGTACTTTGCATGATTTTGAACAAATTTAAACCATAAGACATTATTTAAAACTTTTAAAGACTTGCAGTAGCATGGTCCCATCAAACACAAAGTTAGTATTTATATTTAAAAAAGCATTTTGCAAATGGCATAGATGTCTGCCAATTTCAAATGTGCTGTCTCTTGGAATCAGCCACCTGTTTGTACCACAATGTGTTACTGTATAATCTAAATTAAGAAACGCAGCATCCGCCTCACCAAGTCACAATATTACTCAAGTTGGCCACCTACTGTCATTTATTATATAATTTATTTTCTAATTTAGTTCACAGACTAAGATGATCTCAACTGATCATATTTGGTGCTTTCAATACTTCACTAATAAATCAAATCATTAGATTTGTTCTTTCCCATCTGCTCATAGGTCTTGTGTCTTCTTGGCTTATGAATATTGTTAATGTCCAAGTTACTTTTGCTTCAGTCTTGCCCTAATATGTTGCTACAACTTGCAGTTTTTATAAACAAAAGTCAGACAAAATTTGACATACATTGTTTCTCAACAAAGCTGCAATTAACCAATGTCAAAAGTAAACTTCTGATGCCTTTTTTTCAGGTACCCTTTCAAGAACTTTAGAATCCATTAAAAAAAATTATAGGCCTTTGTGCTGTAAAATGTCTGCTGCATAATTTTGCATGTTTTTGATTTTCAGTGTTTATAGGTCCACTGTAATTTGCTTATCTACATTCCAAGTCTCTCTCTCACTTTTGTTTTTTCTGAATGTTTTCCATCACTTAATTAATTAATAGGGCCTGAAACCTCCTCGCCTTCCTCTGAAGCCTGAACGGAAGATGGACCCTCGACTGAAACTGTAGTTGAAGCCTCTCCCTCGGCCCCTGCCACGACCTCGGAAATTTGTACCAGCTGCAAAAATTAGAGAAATAAAATATTCACCAATTAAACAAATTCTGACTTTAAACTAGGTCTCTCAAATTTTTCACAATCTCAGTGGCATTAAGAAGTAAATTACCTTTATTCCATAGATAAGAGTATTTTACATGTAACATAAAAGTGCTGAACATCCATTAACATTTGAACACAATACCCAAACATTTTTATAGTTTGCAACATATGGCTATACCCAGACATCAGGCCATGTACAGAAATTTTGGATATATTGCTCAAGGTCCAAAGATAGTAACCTACTACCAGGAAACTACATGAACCAATAAAAAAGGGGCATCCCTTGCAGCAGCATATGCAATCCGAGTCCCAGCAAGCATAAGAAATATTGCCAGAACAACCATGGACATCTTCAAGAGGAAACTAGATTGTTTCCTCCAAGAGTGCTGGACCAACCGGGCTGTGGTGGATATGTGGGCATGCGGGCTCCAAGCAACAGCCTGGTGGACCAAACTCTCACAAGTCAAGCCTGGCCTCGGGCCAGGCTTGGGCAGTAGAAGAACACCCAGAACCCCATCAATCAGGTATCAAAACCTGGATTGTACCTGGATGGAACTCTGAAAGTTCTATTCCCTAAGCCCAGCTCGGAGATTGATCTAACGGGCTGCTTGAAGTGGCCCACATATCCACTACAGCTCAGTTGGTCCAGCACCTCTTGCAGAAAACTGTCCAGTTTTTACTTTTTTATTGCCACCTTTGTTCCAGCAGTTTTTCTTATATTGTTGGAAGGATACTGAACAACTGTGGACCTCCGATGTTCAAATTCGGCATTTCCTACCATATCGTTCACTCCAGTATGGTTATTTTACTGTGCAAATATGGGACCTGGCACTCCAGTAGTTTCCTTGCCCTGAACCACTTCAAAGTTCAGTACCTATGCAAAATATCTACAGACTTTGTTCATAAATTACAAGTCAATAATTATTTCTGGGGAGCCTAAATGCAATCACTTAGTGGATTCTTGCAGAATCCACCAATAATCATGCTATGATCATTGAGTGTTACTAATATACTTTATTTTTAATGTGCATGTAAATAGTATTGTTATTCTAGGGTTTAATTTTCTTGATGAATATTTCTGACATATAGTACTTCTCCATAACCCTGTGGAGGAAAGCACACACATATAATAATGCCATCCACAAACACAGGAAAATATACTCGAGCCAAAATACAAGCAATCTCCATTATCAAACTTACAGTATTGGCCTGCTCTCTGACTGTACTTGTCTCTTGGTGGAGCATAAATTGGACGCTCCTCTTTGTGACTCTTGGGGCTGTTGGAATCAAATGTGATGGGTGTGTGCCTCTTCTCTGCTCCATTTGTCATTGGTTTCCCTGCCGTAGAGGCTGGCTTCCATGAAAGAGCAATGCATGCCTGTCACGAAAAGAAGTACATCAATTTTATTGTTCTTGTACATTAGGCCAATAGTTAAAAGTCACAAATGGTACCATTAATTTATATACAGATATTCCCTTTGCAACCAGGCTCAGCACTTCAAGGTAGGACTACTCTCATTCCATTTACTTCTTCCCCATCCTTGCCTTCACTTTTAATAGCCAATAAGATTTTTTTAATTTGTTTCGATGCAGATGAACAATAACCCGATCCTCTACCCGTGTCTCACGCAAAAGAAAGTAACTAGCATGCACTGTTAAAACACCCTTCCTCAGCCTTATTTAAATAATGTAATCTTACTACCCAGCTATTTAGCCCACCAAATTGTATTACTAACAAAATTGTTAATTCCATTTCACTATTATGGTTTATATCATCAATTTTATCCCATTAATCTTACATCCCACACGATGCAATATCTCATCAGTATGGGCTTTAACAAAGTCTGGTCTCAAAGACCTCATTAACAGTATGGCAATATTACCTAAGAATGACAGCCATTTCACTAATACAAACAACATCAAATTCACACCTTATAGGATGGAGGCTGGTGAAAAAGGTCTTTGATGAGTATGTTGATGTTTGCTGTAGTTTTGAGAGCTATGAGCTTGATTTTATTCTCTTCTGTCTTCAGTTCTTCACCAGTTTTGTTAGCTATTGCCTCTCTCAAGCGCTTCTGATATGCTTGTGAAACTCGTGCAAAATACTGCAGCCTAGAAAACAAAAATATTTGCATGCATACTTTTAAACAAATACATAGGCAGTTGGACAGGTTATCATACAGCATGGTGTTACAGGGATTTTTCAAATGTTCCTGCAGGTTTCTATACAGAGTTACTACCAGAGGGCAAGCCATAATAATTTCAAATCCTTCCAAACCTTAGCATCACAAGTGACTGCAAACAAGGGCTCATACTAACAACTAGTTGAAATGCCTGGCCATCCATTGACCCCCACCTGGCAGAAATGTTAAGATTAGAAGCATCCAAATGATTCTGCTCTGGAAGGTACTTTCCACAGTGATACAAAGCCTTATTTATGAACTATCATATTCAGTCTCACATGGAAATAAATACTGAACCTAAAATTAAAAATAAAGGCAAAACTCATGGATGCTACAGAGTGGTGCTGCAGAAGGGAAGCACATGAATAATGAGTACAAAACCCATAAGAGGCTCAGCAGGTGTGCGCACCTAAGACTACACATTGGTTGCTCAAGCGAGAACTTTTAGGAAAATAAGTATCATTTTATGAAGCTATACTTATCGGCTCCCCACATCTCTCTAGTTGTGAAGCATATATCTAACCGACCCTGCTTCCTATGTCAGATACTCGCCCTATGTAAGAACATAATTTTAAGCAGTCTAGTAAAACATGGCAACCTACTCAGCCATCTCTATCATGTCATATCCTGATATACATGTTGAATCACTTATTACAAAATTTTCTCCCTCTATAGATGCTCCAATGTTGACCAATCCACACACTAGAAAGTGAAGGGACGACGACGTTTCGGTCCGTCCTGGACCATTCTCAAGTCGATTGTGAGAATTGACTTGAGAATGGTCCAGGACGGACTGAAACGTTGTCGTCCCTACACTTTCTAGTGTGTGGTTTGGTCAACATATTTCAGCCACATTATTGTGACTCCTCGTCTGCAGATGCTCCAATATTTGCTTCCTGACACTTTCTCCAATACCTTACTAGTAATGTACATTAGTGACTTATCCTTGTTCTTGAATACTGGTCAGTACTATTTGTCTTTGTTCAGAATTGTGTGAATTTCACCAATTTCTAACATTTTATTGAGTGCCACCTGGTGGGGACACAGAATCTGTCCCAATATTAGAAAATATGCACCAATAAATTCTACAACAAACAGGTTTCACCATTATACATTAAGGTAAGCCTCCTAACAACAAACATATATTAAGATAGTGTTATACCTGATCCTGAAATCCTTCAACCGATCTGCATCCTCAGTCAAAAATTCAGGATTATGCTTTGCCAGCTGGTGGAAGGTGAAGAGGAGACACTCCACACGAGAGAACTCCAGGCTCACTCCTCCCTCCAGTGCTTCTGTGGCAGCATCTCCCTCTGGGGGGAGTGGCATCACCTCCTGAAAATGCAATACAACTAATTATTGCAACTTTAAATTAGATCACTTGCTTATCAATGTTAAAATACTGTACTAGTGCATTATTACAGAATTAGAAAAACTGACAATCTATTAGAAACAAAAATCAAGTGGTCCATTGGGTCTTGTTCTATAGACAACCAGGTTCTTGGACACCAGGCTGCTCATATTAGCAAGGGAAGCATGGGGACTTTATATTGACTCAAAACAGAGAAGCAAAGCAAAACAAACTTTGCATTTTAATTAGAAAGATGGAAATAAGGAAAGTAGTTTTATACCCAACGTCAATATGTGTTAATATCCAAGGACACCACCTGATGGCAACTCAGGTCATACAGCAGTCCACCCTGCCTGCCCTATCCGTCACATGCTGTCCCCAAGGTGTATCATATCCCCATGGGAAAGAAGGGCAAAGAGCGAGCACAAAGAAATGCTAAAGCTGCACAAGAAAAGAATACTTCGCTATAATTAACACAGGATATCTTGGCTGGGCCTTGGTAGGTTTCCAGTGCATACTCCACAACATGCCTTCTTTGAGATGAAAGAAACATTAAAAAAAAAACAAAGGGGCCAACCCGTGAGAAAAGAAGGCCAGAAAAACAAGACTCAGGGAAGGAGGAAGGTGGTGGTGACGGGAAAGGTGCCTTCAAGTCACACAGGCCCAGAGAGGATGAGAAAATCCAACAGACAAAATGCTGCTATCACCCAGTTAGACTGCCAGAACCCCTAAGACTGAATATAAGCAGTAAACACACAGTATTAGCCACATATTTGCAAACGTCATGCACAAGCGAGTACACATCGTACTTGCTGAAACGAACCATCCCTCATAACCTGAGAAGGCCTGGCCTTTGGAACAAGATACCAAAGAAACAAGACTAAGTGAACCACAACATGAAAGAGGAGGCTAGCACAGCATGGTGCAGCTGTATACAATACCAAATACAACCAATAAGCAAAATTTCACAATTTGATTTCATAGTAATAGCTAAGTTATATAATTATAAACATTAAAACTACCCTATGAAATAAAATTAATAAATAATTGTGCCTTGAGATCCTTAACAAATCTATCACTTCAGACCAGGATGATAGTGCCTAATTGTCTGCCTTGCAAAAATAATTTTATATATATATTTAACATCTTTTAATAATAAACATACAGCACATAAATTACAAGCTATTCTTAACAGTAATTATGTATATTATTATAGTCATTAAATATTTTATTCAAAATTTATCAGTACCATATCCAGGACTCTTAAAAAAAAAAAAAAAACCTACCAAAAGTTTGTCGAAGATGGCCATAATTTTGGCACTTATATCTTCTAAGTTGCCAGCATGGGGAACCAGTTCTGCAATAATTTTGAGAAGATCTAGGATGAGTGCAGCATTGTTACTACCATCAGTGACAGCACCCTCCAAGTGGTCAAGAGCTGGTACAACTTCTCGCCACATGTACTCAACAAACTGAGTAGAACGCACCTGTGACTGAAATGAAAATATTTGTGTGTATTAGATGGGAATAAATACAGTTAACACTGGTAAGCATAATAGTGATAACTAGAGTAAACTAAATTTTATGCACAACAATGATACAGTAGTAGTAGGCATCCTTCAGTCTCGGGAGACTATGGAGTTGCGCCCTAGTTGTCAATCCTGGTGCAGTGTCTGGTGTGACTGATGAGGCCAATCCGAGAGTGGCAGTCCATCCCACACCGAGCACAAACGAAGTCCGATTCTGGTCTGTCTTCCTGGCTACCGGCTTTCCTTCTCTGTCTCTTTGCCTCCGATTCCTTGGCAAGTGACTCCTCGAACTTGGAGAGACCTCGTTGAACAGACTGCCTCCAGGCTGAACGGTCTGCAGCCAGTGTCTCCCATATAGCAAGATCGACGTCCATGGCTTTCAGGTCCCTTTTGCATACGTCTTTGTACCGTAGCTGGGGCTTGCCTGCTGGACGCTTTCCCTGCCTCAGCTCTCCGTACAGGAGATCCTTGGGGATCCTGCCGTCGCCCATTCGCACGTGCCCGAGCCAGCGCATTCGTCTGTTTCAGCATTGTGTACATGCTGGTGATTCTTGCTCTCCCCAAGACGTTGTTGTTTGTCACCTTGTCCTGCCAGGTGATGTCCAAGATGTGTCTAAGGCAGCGCATGTGGTAGGCATTCAGCTGTCTTTCCTGACGGGTGCGGAGTGTCCAAGACTCACTGCCATAAAGGAGAGTGCTCAGGACACAGGATCTATAAACCTGAATCTTAGTATACAGTACTATGATAATAGTACTGTATACGAGTATATATATGTATACATGTATATATATGTATATAATGTATACATGTATATATATGAGTGAATGATACAGTACTGGAACCAGATTCACGAAGCAGTTACACAAGCACTTACGAACGTGTACATCTTTCCTCAATCTTTGACGGCTTTGGTTACATTTATTAAACAGTTTACAAGCATGAAAACTTGCCAATCAACTGTTGTTATTGTTATAAACAGCCTCCTGGTGCTTCGGAGCTCATTAACTGTTTAACAATTGTAAACAAACCCGCCAAAGATTGAGAAAAGATGTACAGGTTTGTAAGTGATTCATGAATCTGGCCCCTGGTATTTTAGCTTTGCACAAGATATTTAAGTAGAAAATTTACTGATGTGTGTGAGAAAGTTATGCTGGTGGAGAGACAAAGTTCTCAAATATGAATGATGAAATGCTAGGAGTGGGTGGTCAGTTTAACCCTTTCATTGTGTAAGTTACAAAATGCATTATCTGTATGCACTCTGAAAAATAAGTACTGTATTAAAAACAAGGCTTTTGTCATTCTATATTTTTAAAAACTATGCACTGAGCACGTGAAAAATGTTCCAAAAATCATGTCACTTTTTAAGATGGTAGATGTTTACTGGAGATTTTAAAGTACCAATTGGGAACCTGTATCCCAGTTTCAAATGTAACAAACTACCTAAAACATCTAATGATGTTATGCACATTTAAAGTGAGTATTACCTGGATTGCCTGATAAGGAATTTGAGAATATGGTGCATAAAGGAAGTAAAGCAGTTAGTGCTATGGTTTGAAAGAAAACGACAAATAGATGCCGCCAAAGGATGCACAAAGAAGTGATGGTGCTCTCACTTAAGAATGCGGGATAATTGTGGTATGAATATAAATAAGGAATCAGAGATATGGACATTCTGAGAAGCACTTTTCATATTAGGAGAATAGTTAGAAATGAAAATGTCATAAATGACAGAGTTCAAAAGTCAATAAACCACAAGATTGAGGAAAGTGCACTGAAATAGTTTAGAATGTGGAGTTCTAATAAAATGGTGTTTATAGGAAGAGATATCTAGCTTGAGCTCAATGCCCTAGCTATTGTAGGTCTACCTGGTCAATTTATACCTCCTAACATTCAAGGGCTGTGCCACACTTGTGACTATAGCTGCAAATACATGGTTGCTCCGCTGCCTCCAATTCAAGATCATTCTATTTACTTAGCACTCTCACATGTATTTCTTCATTTCTTTGGCTCATCTGTGTTTCCAATTTATACCTGTGCTCATTTTGTTGACTCTTATTGGAAAGGAACAGCCACTTGAATGTTGTGATCATATTATTACTCTTCTAATGTCATTAAATGTAGCCTTCTTGGCAGGTTTTCATCATTGATCCTTCTCATCTCTCAAATGCATCCTGTGGCATATCTTTGGACCACTCAATTGTGCTGAACTTTTATATGCTATCAAAAACAAACAATAATAAGGCACAATAAATGACAACTCTTTTGAAGAATGTGATACAGCTGAACGAGTGTGCAGCCCTCCAAAATTCCTGCATCACATTCCTTTAAATTTCACTATTTTTTTTAACAAAATAAGCCTACATAAATTTGACCATGATCTACATATCAGCAGCCTCCCTTCCCCATATTATCCGTCTGAGATATCTTGAATGTTAAGCATTATGAAACTCTGGCAAATTCTATACACCCTTAGAGAAAACTAAGGGATAGAGAAAAGGGAACAGTATATAGAAAATGCCAAAATTAAGAATACACTCATTGATAGCATTATAAGCATCATGAATACTGTACAGAACTCTTCTCCCATTTCAGTTTTACACGAATTAGCAAATTTTTCAATAGATAACTTCTTTAATAAGTGTCACAATGTAATTTGCTGAACTTGATTCCAACCTCCTATACACACACACAAACTGAGCTTGCCCAGCTTTGCTTTAGCTCTATGCAAAGAATTTACTTGTCATGAATGTGAGTGTAGTTTAGAACACAAAATTTAATTAATGTCATGAATGTGAATGTAGTTTAAAACACAATTTAATTAATAAATGTCATAAATGTGAATGTAGTTTAGAACACAAATTTTAATTAATAAATGTCTTACTGAAAAATATGGCAGGGCCTGCTTGGTGCAAGATGTTAGACGATGCACACTCTCCACATCAGACGGGTCCAGAGGCCGAGTGAAGTCCACCTGCTCCGACACAAGATCAACCAACTGTTGGTAACCTTTCACAGTCTGGCAGGTTTTTAATTCTCGAAGGATACCCATCACTAAAGTGAATTCATCTTCTGATGATGCTACCTAAAATTAAGTTAATATATATTAACAAAAGAAAATGTAAAACTGATAATACTAAAACTAAGAATTTAAATGTTCTCTAACTCCTGACTGAAGGACTGTCAAATCTAACACTAAATTTGTGATGTTTGAACATGTCAAAATCTGTCCCTTATTTATGCATGTTCATACTACAGCATCAGTATATGAATATATGTATGGAACAACCAACTTGGCTTTCCTTTGTAGTACGTGTATAAAAATATACTTACTGTAATTTTATTTATATTTTTAAAAGGGAAGGGAGTACCACATCTGGCTGGAAAAGGGGGACCCTTAGCCTCGGAGGAAAGCACACACAACGTATCAGAAGGGATGTTAAGGTCTCTTACAAAACAGTTTCTATGTTCCACTCCCTTCCTTTTATGATTTCTACTTTATTAGATATTTAAAGGTTACAAGATGTACATAGGTTAATACAATGAGTGTTTAAAGGTTATGGATCTCTTGGATCTCCTCTGCTTCTGGACAGTAAATATATACGGGTTTAATCCCTGTCCACACAACACCATGCTTGTTTTGTACGATTTCGTCGCCACAGTTCGGTGATCTACGGCTTCGAAATAATAAAATTAATAAATCAGTTCCAAAGTATTTTTTATAGCTCTTATTACCGTAATAATGTTGCTAAACTAAATATGTAACCCAACAATATATAATTTAATGTAAATCGAATACTTGAGAGAAATTTATGTTACTGGAAATCGAACATAGCACCAGGCGGTGTTTTGTTCGATTTCGTTGCCACAGTTCAGTGACCTACGACTTCGAAATAATAAAATTAATAAATCAGTTCCAAAATAAGTATTTTTTATAGGTCTTATTATCGTAATAATGTTGCTAAACTAAATATATAACCCAAAAATATATAATTTGATTTAAATTGAATATTTAAGAGAAATTTATGTTACTGGATCTGGCTTAAACACCAGCCTACTGAAGCGTGTACGTATAGACTTAGTCTGTGTTTGTACAGTATGCACCCAGTGCCCTTAGCTTTGTCTGCGATTGGCGTACAGTATTTATCCGCCAGTGGAAGAATAATTGTGGAATTGACCATTTTTTACTACAGCTCTTTGGTTATAAAACAAAATGTCTCAGGGGCTTACTAATAGTGCCTTATTAATGCCAAAAATGAAGCAATATTGTGCAAGAACTAATAGCAGAAAATTAACCAGCACAAGAACAGCCGTACCCAGCACGAGAACAGCCGTACCCAGCACGAGAACAGCCGTACCCAGCAAGAGAACAGTCATACCAAGCACGAGAACAGCCGAACCCAGCACGAGAACAGCCGAACCCAGCACGAGAACAGCCGTACCCAGCACGAGAACAGCCGTACCCAGCACGAGAACAGCCGTACCCAGCACGAGAACAGCCGTACCCAGCACTGGTACAACAGCCGTACCCAGCACGAGCACAGTTGTACCCAGCACTGGTACAACAGCAGCCAGCACCAGCTCAGATGCAGCTGAACCCACTTACTAATATACTGTAAATATATTTTATTTCCAGAGGGAATGACAGTCTTACAAGAAATTTCTATCAGACATGCTGTAGTGCATACATTTAATAATGAGTTATGAGTACCACTGGCCTGACTGATCAAGCTTTTAACCTAGTAAGAGATCTCACCATAATTGTGATAAGCACCATAAACAACAAAATATATTGTACCATACTATAACTACCAACATCCATGCTGTCACATATCAGAACACACACACACACACACAGAAAATGGTGCATCAATATACTTTAAATTACCTGCAACACCTTTTTTGCTTCAGTGAGAATGAGAGTTTCAACTTCCGATGTGAAAACTTGTGACCCAAGTGACCTTATCTTTGTATGAAGAAAACGGATGCACCTCTCCCGTACTATCTCATCTTCACTATGTTCAATCTGGTAAAACAACCCAGTCAGCGTTCCTGTCAGAGAATTGAAGATAAATTAAGATAATATATTTTCCCAGAGGAAAACTGAAGACAACTGGGCTAAAAACTTAAATAAGAAGTACAATTAAGTTGAAGAAAATAAACATCTTAAGATTCCATTAATTTAGATGATCGATTTATGGAACAAATTACAGAACAGTAGCCCCTCCGTTTCCGAATTTAATCCATTCCCAGAGACGGTTCGTAACCTGAAAATTCGCAACCCGAAACTAATTTTCCCATAAGAAATAATGTAAATTGAATTAATCTGTTTCACACTCTCAAAAAATATTAACTTCAAAAAACATTTTATACCTAATATACAAATATTTAGTACAATAGTATGAACAAGTTATAGCTTACCTTTATTGATGACTTTTGTTGGCGTATGGAAAACAGTGAGGAGGGGGCAGGGAGGAGAGGTGTTAGTGTTTGAAAGGAGAGTCCCCTTCCAGTACATCATCAGGCACTGATGAAATCTCTGGGGTACTCACTCTCCTACATTTTGCAGGCATACCACTAGGAACTGGTTGTGGCTCACTGCTTGCTTATCTTACTAAGAATCTATCTAAAGACAAATGAACAAATCCACAAGGGCCGTGACGAGGATTCGAACCTGCGTTCGGGAGCATCCCACATGTCTAGCTAGACATTTTTTTTTCCCCCTACATTTTAACACTTGTCTGTAGTAAGATATCACATTTGTCATTTATCGGTCAATGCAATGACCTGCTAAAGTTTTATCTGGGCGAGTCTTATCAGCAAAACCTTGCAATTCTTCCCATACTGCACAAATTTTCTTAATTAATGAGGAAGAGACATCCTCTACTGCCTCCTCCTCCCCCTGAAGATTTGTTGTACTGCCTAGCTAGTACAACATCCCGTGAATCATTTTCATGTTTTACAAATGGTTGTTTTTCTCTATGGTCATCCTCACATGTGTTTTCTTAGGTTGAACCTTACCACTGACTTTTTTGGGACCCATGGCTTGATATATAATAATTACTTTTATGTTCAAAATCCTAAAAAGCGGAAAAACAATGAAATTCTTTACAAAGAAATTAAGTTCAATTGACATTAGACGGGAGGCACATGTAAACTGAAGCGCAGGCGACCGTGCCACCAGGAACCACGCACTCGGTTACCAATAAGCGTATCAACAAGCTACATAACTTGAGGCAAAGCTCTTAACCCGATTCAAATTTTACTAAGAAAATGTAAAATTTGGCTCATAACCCCAAAAAATCACAAAGAGGGACATTCATAAGCTGAGGTGTCACTCATTGGGTAACATAATAGATGTGAAATTAGTGCACACCTGTTAAACGCTAACAACCCCTGGTGCACAAGAAAAAACCTGGGATTTCCCCTGGTTTGAGTGGAAACACCACTCGTCTGGTGTTTCGCGAGTGTTTTGTCCTGGGTTCATATCCTGGACGGGAAGGATTTACTGGACATCAATCCTTAACCGTGGTCTCTGTTTACCCAACAGTAAAATGAGTACATGGTTGTTAAACGATTTGGTGGGGTCATATTCTGGAGAACATAGGATAAAGGACTTGTAAAAAATGCTATGTATGCTAATGGCTGTACAAGAATGCAAGAACTCTTGTATATATAAATAAATAAATACATAAATAAATAAATAAATAAATAAAAAAATAAAAAAAAGTTCCTTCTAACATTGTTAAAATGCATTTTCAGATCAAGGGGAAAAAATTGACATACTTTGGCTGGAATGGAGCAAGGAAGCTTGCAATATACAGGTGTTGACAGTAGTCGCCCGCAGGCGTCTGCTTCAGCATAGCCGTATGGAGATTTGTCACAGATACTGTATTATTACTTAATTATTTCACTGTCTCATTAGTTTTTTCTCTGGATTTTTGCAGTACAGTAACATTATTCAATAGCGAGTAATATGATCAATTTATATAATGTGTGGACCATCGCTATACTCAAAAATATAAAATGCGGAAGACTTTGTGTAAATCTTTACATAAATTTCACAAAGTACATATATGTGGGTTTTTATCCAATACTATCATTATTTGTACAGAATGTACAGAATATTTGTACACACATTTATGTCACTAATATAAGTTAAATATTATAATTTTATAAGGGAACATAAGTTGTCATTTCAAGATGCTTAGATGGACTAACAATGGCAGTGCTGTAGGTGCCTGTCTTGTGCTGTGAACATCATTGTGTTCACTGATATCTGAACATTGTACATCATTTTTATTTCAGAATTGAAGAATTGCATTGTAAATATATTTTGCAATGAATTGGTCAACTTTTCAAGAATTCTCTAATAAAAAGTGAGTTTTCTCACCAACTCGCTAGACACTAAATAAATTTTGCCTTTATTGCCATGCTTTGTGAAATACAATACTGTATCTGGAACAGCTTGATGCAACCAAGGTATCCTGACATAAGCATGGCACCACCCTGGTGCCGGTCTCTACACAAATGGATATTTTACCCAACTTCCATATACTGTACAGTATTTACAGTACTATAAACATGTAGAATGTTTATAATTCTATAATATATAATTATAAACATGTAGAATGTTTATAATTCTATAATATATAATTCTAAACATGTAGAATGTATATAATACTATACTATGGATTTAATATTATAAGATATTAAAATTTTGATTCTAAGGTAAAGTAATGTTAGCAAAAAATATGGGTTGTGGACAAAGACTATCCACTACATATATAAGAAAACTTGCAAACCTTTAGGATCTGTTTTCAGGAGAGAGACAAGGGAGTTTTGTACCGTTGCCAGCTCAGCCTGGTCTTCCATCTGCAGCAGCTGGGCCAAGATGTCTGCTACCTTTGGTACCAACTCTGTATGACCTCTGCACAAAGTTGGTAGATCTTTAATGGCCTGTTTACGAATCTAAAAGGAGAGGAAGAGAAATCATGAAATTTTGGGTAATAATGCTTAAATAGGTCATAATTTTAGAGTTTAGTTTGTGTAGGATATGACAGTGTGTATGCATAACTGTTTTGCCACACAAAACTTATTCACACTGGCATTTTTAACTAGAATTTTATAAGTATGGTATTTATGCTAAATATGCTGTTGCCAATGTAGTAAAAGGTAACTGGCTAATTTTGCAAACTTTTACATTACAATATTCTACAAATTAGTTTTCATCATCATGTAATATAATTTACTGCATTATTTGTTTATGTACAAATATAGCTCTTAGTATAGCTTACATATAATGTAAGAAACTTGACCTTCACAGTGAATAACATTATAACTTAACACATTAATCCTAACCAGTTTACTATGTACACTATGAATATGAAGATTAAATAATTGCTTTCCTTAAAATACTGTATATCACATTTTGTCCCAAACACTTGAAACTTACCGTAACCTCGTCATCTTCACACAAATCAAACAAAGCATTTAGAGCTTGCTCCTGATGTGATGGAAAATACTGAAAGAAGCGTGCAATAAACTGTGAAGTGAGTCGTCTTTCTCCCGTACCACCTTTCACCCCAGTCAGTATTTCTGCAAACTCTGTGTCATGCTGAAAGAAAAAATATATAATGAAATAAGAACAAATTATGATTTTTTTAAACACATTATAGTGTAACATCTACACATGATCATATGAATAAGGTAAATACCACAATTGTCATTTATACAAAACCTATCCTTGCCATGCATAAGAATTGATGGCAAGTCCTTTGCACTATAAAATAAAAACAACAGAATTACCACTTTGGCTCAACACTTGATCAGCATTTCTGAACCTTTGTACCCTTGATATAATTTTGGGTTGCACTTTATGTTGCCAAAAGGAGTCTTTGTCTTAGCTTTTTATGTTGGTTAAATGAGAAAAATTAAACAAAAATAACTTATACATTTGCATATGATTTAATTAGCCCTTTTATCAGTTTCTCTTGTGGAACCTCTAGTTACCTTAAGGTTCCACAGAGCCCCACATGAGAATTGCTGGGAGAGGGAAAGAATGGTGCTAATCACTTTAACCATTAGGAATTGAACTTTGTCCTGCATGAAGTGAGGCTGTAGCAGGGAAGGTGAGTTGGGGACTACCTAAGTAGATGCTCGCAAACTCATAAACCAGTATCAACACATGCTACCTCATTTAGTAGTAGATAACCTTCCATCAGCACCAGATCCAAATTGAAATTACATTTACAAAGTATTCTGCAACTAGATTAAAAAAAAACAGGAATCACAAGTTACTAAAATGCAGTTAACAACATTCCCCCATAACGTACAGGAATTCTAAACTTGCAACAGGAACCGTACTTGTTTACCGGCCAGCTCCTGACCCCTGACATCACCCAGGCGATCACGCTCCAACCACTCACAACAGTATAGTCACGTTCAACATGTAATAGTTCCTCCCTCCAACATAAACGACTCATTACCCAGCACGGAGCGGCCTGCACCACCCACCATACAGCTGTATGTCACTCAACATACAGCTGCTAAGACCCTGCGGTGGCCGCCACGACCCCCAAGCTAAGCTCGCCCGCCACCACTCAACCATCACAACACGCCCACACAAGGCTTTATACACATCAAACTCACGACCTACCTCGCCTGCCTTGTCTTTGGCGTCTGCTATTATGTTGTATAACACATACAACCTGTCGACGTTGGCCATATTTACAAGCCGAGAGCAATCCCACGAGAACTTGCTGGCTGTTAGACTTGTCCAAACGTAAACACGGTGTGCCGACCCTCGCCACCCGCTAAGGTACAACTAACATAACATCCCATATATCTATCAATTCCTTAATGTTTTAGCAAAATTAATTCAAATAAACAATTTTATTATTATTTAGAGTCAATATATTTACTATATTTATTATTTTTGTAAGTTATTATTCAGTATTTTCGTCGAGTATTAACTTTAGTTAAGAGTATGAGAAAGACTGACAGACAAAACACGAATTATATCGTGTTTTAATTTTGTTTACGGAGAGATAGTTGAAGTTCTGTTAATATTTTTCTCATACATATATTATAAATCTATTTAATCTACTTAAAACGTCACTATTTTAGAAATTATTAATATTACACTTTGTTTCTATTTATAAATATTTGACAGAAACGCTTACAGACGCTGTCATAGTTCTCAGTTCCTAACATTCCCTAACATATATATTCTTGCATTGCTTTATATCTCAAAGACAGAAAAAAGATATATACATCGAGAGGTATATCCTTCTTTTCGGTTAATATACACAGAGAATTTACTTTAGTTCTGAATTATGTTTCGGACTAAAGTATTCTTTCCGAGTGATTGGCAACTTTCTTAATTTTGCCCCTGAGGGCACGTTTATTGGGCAGCGTCACTCATCCTGGGAGTGAACATGCCGCTAAAGCAGCATGTTCACCAATAGGGAGAGAACCCGCTGGGTTGTTCATCCTGTCACTGTCACTTGAACCTATCATAAGTGAACAATTGACTGTTATAAAAGGGGATTAAGATCTTACAACCCCCAAGTTTATCTTTTTTTGTATTCAGATTCAGATTCAGATGTTTATTCAGGTAAGGTATATACATACAAGTGATGTTACATTAATGGAACAAACTTATTATTAACAAACAAACAGAATATTAACAAACTTAATTAGGTAAACAGCATTAACCTTGAAAGATTAGTGATAAAAAAAATAATTAGAAGTTCATCTAATATCCCCAATCCCACAGGATGGTTAGTCATACATGGAATCAGGAGAGAACATGAAATGCCAGGCTGATATATTAACCTACACTAGCAAAATCTGGGTACAGCATGAATATCTTCCAATATTCGTGAGTGCATGAAGTAATCTCAGAGCCCAAAGTACCTCAATACCATTTGGTCTGAAATCATTAATAACAGGGGAATCACAGACAGTGTTGGAGAGTATGCCCTAGCTCTTGTTCCACACGTCTGGGTTAAAACAGAGTGGTGCTAAATGGGAATGAATCCGATTGGAGAAATGTGGTAAGTGGGGTACCACAGGGGTTCATTTTGAGGCTAATCATTTTTGTCATATACATCAATGACATAGATAGGAATATTACAAACCACATCAAATTTGTAGATAACACAGAGATGGCAAAGTGGGAAATTATAATGATGTTGTAGTCTTACAAAGATCTGTAGGAACTCCACAAATGGTCAGATGACTGACAAATGCTTTTTAATATTTACAAATGCAAGACCCGACATGTTGGGCATAACAACCCACGAAACAACTACCGAATTAATAACATTACATTACAGCAGATTGTGCATGGTCGGCTGAAGCCCAACCATGCACAACCCGGAGCCCAAGTGACACCCCCAGAGCCCAACCAGTTGTGTAACCGAAGCCCGACCAGTTGTGTAACCGAAACCCGACCAGTTGTGTAACCGAAACCCTACCAGTTGTGTAACCTAAAGCCTAGCAAATATACATCTCATCCACCCCCACCCCCCATCAAGCTAAACAGCCCCAGAGCCCAATCAAAATCCATTCCTAGCTTGACCAAACAAAAGTCTCCTTAGCCCTACCTAAAACCTTCCACTTGCCCTAGAAACCAACTATGGAGCCATAGCAAACAAAAAATTGAGCTACGTATGAAAAAAAAAACCTGGTTTTCTAGCAAACATAAGTATAGAGCCCTAGCAAACAAACCTGGAGCACAACCATGCCCGACCGAAGCCCGACCATGCACAACCCGAAGCCCAAGTGACACCCCCGGAGCCCGACCAGTTATGTAACCGGAGCCCGACCAGTTATGTAACCGGAGCCCGACCAGTTATATATCCGGAGCCCGACCAGTTGTGTAACCGGAGCCCGACCAGTTGTGTAGCCGAAGCCTGACCAGGTGTGTAGCCGAAGCCCGACCAGGTGTGTAACCGATACCTTACCAGTTGTTTAACCGGACCCCGACCAGTTGTGTAACCTAAAGCCTAGCAAGTATACATCTCATCCAACCCCACCCCCCACCAAGCTAAACAGCCTCAGGGCCCAATCAAAATACATTCGTAGCTTGACCAAACAAAAGTCTCCTTAGCCCTACCTAAAACCTTCCACTTGCCCTAGAAACCAACTATGGAGCCATAGCAAACAAAAAATTGAGCTACGTATGAAAAAAGAAACCTGGTTTTCTAGCAAACATAAGTATAGAGCCCTAGCAAACAAACCTGGAGCACAACCATGCACGACCGAAGCCCGATCATGCACAACCCGAAGCCCAAATGACACCCCCGGAGCCCGACCAGTTATGTAACCGGAGCCCGACCAGTTTTGTAACCGGAGCCCGACCAGTTATATATCCGGAGCCCGACCAGTTGTGTAACCGAAGCCCGACCAGTTGTGTAACCGAAACCCGATCAGTTGTGTAACCGAAACCCGATCAGTTGTGTAACCGAAACCCTACCAGTTGTGTAACCTAAAGCCTAGCAAATATACATCTCATCCACCCCCACCCCCCCCCCCCATCAAGCTAAACAGCCCCAGAGCCCAATCAAAATCCATTCCTAGCTTGACCAAACAAAAGTCTCCTTAGCCCTACCTAAAACCTTCCACTTGCCCTAGAAACCAACTATGGAGCCATAGCAAACAAAAAATTGAGCTACGTATGAAAAAAGAAACCTGGATTTCTTTTTTCTGGAAAAGCCCGACCATGCACAACCCGAAGCCCAAATGACACCCCCGGAGCCCGACCAGTTATGTAACCGGAGCCCGACCAGTTATGTAACCGGAGCCCGACCAGTTATATATCCGGAGCCCGACCAGTTGTGTAACCGGAGCCCGACCAGTTGTGTAGCCGAAGCCCGACCAGGTGTGTAACCGATACCCTACCAGTTGTTTAACCAGACCCCGACCAGTTTTGTAACCGAAAGCCTAGCAAGTATACATCTCATCCAACCCCTCCCCCCACCAAGCTAAACAGAATCAGGGCCCAATCAAAATACATTCCTAACTTTACCAAACAAAAGTCTCCTTAGCCCTACCTAAAACCTTCCACTTGCCCTAGAAACCAACTATGGAGCCATAGGAAACAAAAAAATTGAGCTACGAATGAAAAAAGAAACCTGGATTTCTAGCAAACATAAGTATAGAGCCCTAGCAAACAAACCTAGAGCACAACCATGCACGACCGAAGCCCGACCATGAACAACCCGAAGCCCAAATGACACCCCCGGAGCCCGACCAGTTATGTAACCGGAGCCCGACCAATTATATATCCGGAGCCCGACCAGTTGTATAACCAGAGCCCGACTAGTTGTGTAACCGGAGCCCGACCAGTTGTGTAACCGAAAGCCTATTAGTTGTTTAACCAGACCCCGACCAGTTGTGTAACCGAAAGCCTAGCAAGTATACATCTCATCCAACCCCTCCCCCCACCAAGCTAAACAGAATCAGGGCCCAATCAAAATACATTCCTAACTTTACCAAACAAAAGTCTCCTTAGCCCTACCTAAAATCTTCCACTTGCCCTAGAAACCAACTATGGAGCCATAGCAAACAAAAAATTGAGCTACGTATGAAAAAAGAAACCTGGATTTCTTTTTTCTGGAAAAGCCCGACCATGCACAACCCGAAGCCCAAATGACACCCCCGGAGCCCGACCAGTTATGTAACCGGAGCCCGACCAGTTATGTAACCGGAGCCCGACCAGTTATATATCCGGAGCCCGACCAGTTGTGTAACCGGAGCCCGACCAGTTGTGTAGCCGAAGCCCGACCAGGTGTGTAACCGAAACCCTACCAGTTGTTTAACCGGACCCCGACCAGTTGTGTAACCTAAATCCTAGCAAGTATACATCTCATCCAACCCCACCCCCCACCAAGCTAAACAGCCTCAGGGCCCAATCAAAATACATTCGTAGCTTGACCAAACAAAAGTCTCCTTAGCCCTACCTAAAACCTTCCACTTGCCCTAGAAACCAACTATGGAGCCATAGCAAACAAAAAATTGAGCTACGTATGAAAAAAGAAACCTGGTTTTCTAGCAAACATAAGTATAGAGCCCTAGCAAACAAACCTGGAGCACAACCATGCACGACCGAAGCCCGATCATGCACAACCCGAAGCCCAAATGACACCCCCGGAGCCCGACCAGTTATGTAACCGGAGCCCGACCAGTTTTGTAACCGGAGCCCGACCAGTTATATATCCGGAGCCCGACCAGTTGTGTAACCGAAGCCCGACCAGTTGTGTAACCGAAACCCGATCAGTTGTGTAACCGAAACCCGATCAGTTGTGTAACCGAAACCCTACCAGTTGTGTAACCGAAAGCCTAGCAAATATACATCTCATCCACCCCCACCCCCCCCCCCCCATCAAGCTAAACAGCCCCAGAGCCCAATCAAAATCCATTCCTAGCTTGACCAAACAAAAGTCTCCTTAGCCCTACCTAAAACCTTCCACTTGCCCTAGAAACCAACTATGGAGCCATAGCAAACAAAAAATTGAGCTACGTATGAAAAAAGAAACCTGGATTTCTTTTTTCTGGAAAAGCCCGACCATGCACAACCCGAAGCCCAAATGACACCCCCGGAGCCCGACCAGTTATGTAACCGGAGCCCGACCAGTTATGTAACCGGAGCCCGACCAGTTATATATCCGGAGCCCGACCAGTTGTGTAACCGGAGCCCGACCAGTTGTGTAGCCGAAGCCCGACCAGGTGTGTAACCGATACCCTACCAGTTGTTTAACCAGACTCCGACCAGTTGTGTAACCGAAAGCCTAGCAAGTATACATCTCATCCAACC